CTTTGTGGACTGGTGTTGGGTTAATGGGTTAATGTTGGACTTGTGGGCTTGGGCAGCATTGGGTTGGGATGTTTTCGTGATGCACATTTTCTTTATATAAAACTCTCTCTTATACATGAGTTGCTGTGGATTTGTTTCTCCAAAGTACCCAGACTAATACAATGGGGTCATTACATGATTCCCACATCATATCTTTACATAACTGTCAAATCACCAAAATTCGTGGCCCAGCCAAGTTGACACATATTTTGACGAGGACACAATTTGGGTGGGATGCATCGTTGAGGGGACACAAGATGACATTCTACCCTTTAGACCCCAAACTTTCATGCCCTTGCCAAAGGCAAAACAATTTCATCCCTAAATTCCAACCTGGGGCCACATTCTCTTTATCTGTGAATCTAGAATTCTAGTTATCTGCTCCAAAGGTCGGGGTGGAACAAGCACAAGGTAGACTTTTCCATTACAAACAGGAGCAGTTGTGCAGAGAGGAGACATCGTGGGCAGCAAGCAAGTTCAAAGACCAGCAGAACAACTTACATTAGCTCCTCTGTTTGCTGAGACCGTCTAGGCAATGGTTCTGCCCTCCAATACTCTGGATAGTGGCTGTGCTCGCAGACTTCTTGGACTCAAACATAAGATCAATAGTGAGGGTGGTACAGGACCAGGCAGTGTTTCAGGCTGTTGTACATCAAGTCGCTGTGTGCCTGAAAAAACTCCACGGTGCATAATAACAATTCTGGATGCTGGCAAGAGGCCCCTTTACCCTGGGCTTTAGCTCACCCCTCCATACACAGTAGAATAGCAACTCTGCTCCCTTGTGTGTTTGATAACTCCCATCAATTAAGTGTAAACCTCCGACTGGCCAAAGATCACTTTAGTTTATCTTTAAATACCCTGAAATCTATGCATAGATGTTTTGTAATGGCTCTTTCTCCTCTTTCCCTACCCAGATTTAACTTGTAGAGGAGAAGCAAGCAACGTTCTTTGTCCTATGGCTCGTGCCTTATCTTCTGCATCTCTGGGCCATGAAACCTGAGACAGGGTTTTCTGAATTATAACACATGGGCCTAAATGTAAAGAATTGAGTGACTTTAACACGCTATACCCTAGATTTGTGCTTCTAACTTTAAGTTATATCAAGAGTATGAATGTTGGGTATGCTTGTGTTTTGAAATAAACTACATCAACTAAATAGCTCATGATGCTAATGTCTTACTTAGACCTATCTCTTTGGTGGCTCTGAAAACTCTAAAATGCTGATCAAAGTGCTGAAATAAGTTGAACACCCACAGGCATCTCCCCAGAAACTATCACTATAAAAATCTTCCAGCAAGATGAGCGGTGCAAAGCAAAAGGCTATAGAGTACAACTTGCACAGAACGTAGACAGTGGTGACAATAATAAGTGCTAGAATAATTATTGAGACAATTACTGTGTTTCATTTTTAATTTACAATAATGGAAGTGATGATCTTTTCTAGAGTGTTTTTGAGTAGGAAAAAGAGCAACCAAGTTTAGAAGTTTGGGTATTGTACTTAAATTATTTATCACGTTCTACTGCATTTATTGAAAATGTGCTGGTTGTGCTGAAGAGTAAAATTAAAGATCTTGTGCATTTTCACCCAGAGAGCAGACTTTCCCTGGCCAAAGAACGAGAGCAATTGTGTCCCAGAGGGTTTTGCGTCGCATTTTGAAGAGCTGTCAGGTGTTGCGTTTCTCCGGTGGAAGCCGCTGCGCTGACTTTTCCTTGTGTCTGTGTCTCCCAGTCCCAGCAGAAGTGCATCGTGATCTTTGCCCTGGTGTGCTGCTTCGCCATCCTGGTCGCACTGATATTTTCAGCCGTGGACATCCTGGGAGAGGATGAAGATGGGCTTTCGGAAAAAAATTGTCAAAATAAATGTCGGTAAGAGGTAACAACCCAAAATTCTTCTTCAGGGGGTGGGCAAGAAAAGCCACAGGGGGCCTTCACTAGTTGGAGGAACATTCCATATGCACAGGATCAACCTGCTCATTCTTGGCGGGTTCAGCTGAGGCATCGCTGTCTGTCCATGAATTGTCTTCATTGTAGGCCAAAGGAATAAACATCGACAATTTGGATATATTTTGTACCAAAAGTGGTAGACAAGACGAAATTTCAAGCCAGTCTGAATGTTTGGAGTACTTGTGTAAACAGAGTTAGTATGTTTCACACTGTGTCTGAATGAGTGTGCCAGTGGAGAAGGGGTGCTGTGTGTATTGCATCAAAAAGTCACCAAGCACACATATGTGGAAACATCAGAACATACAACTAGGACTTTAATGAATGCACCAAGCACACATGTGAGAAGATGTAGCTCGCCTAAATATGCCCCGATTTAATACCCAGTTGTTTTTACCTTAAAAATTTTAACAACTTTGCTATTAAATTTATGTATTTTGTCGCTTTGGCTAAATTAAATACTATTCTCCTATCACCGCTTATCTGAATGGCTTAACCCTCACAGCATGGTTTTAATTCCATAAATTGCCTCATTCAGGTCTTCCTATCTCTCTGTGTGTGTGTGTGTGTGTGTGTGTGTGTGTGTGTAAAAGTACCAAGAGCAGTCAGAGAGGTGCTAGATCTATTTTTTTATGTGTTGCTGCAACACAGAAGCATAGTTACATGGTTGCAAGATTAAAGTAGCATTTATGAATTAGAACATGTGGTGTGTTAAATGGTAATGTTTAATGTAAAGAATATGAGTGTATATGTTCCCCTTTTTCAGGTTGGCAGGCAATAAGACAGGTTATGATACCTCCCAGGGTTGGCAGGCAATACAATGGCTGTTAGAAGGAGCTCTTCACAGCATCTACTTACCGTATATACTCGAGTATAAGCTGAGGTTTTCAGCACATTTTTTAATGCAGTTTTTGTGGTAAAATTAGGTGCCTCGGTTGATATTCGGGTCAGCTTAATCTCGAGTATATATGCTACATAGGAGTAAGTGACATCCTACAGAAAATTCCCTTTAAGTGCATGCTCATACCAGATCCTCATGGAGTTGTGTTTGTTTAATTAGATCACATTCTTGGGGAGGCCCCAGTTGTTAAACTACTGAGAATCCTAGCCCAACCAAGTTAACACAAAGCTATCACAATGACCAGGTGCCCTGCCACTTTACTGACTCTTTCAAATAACTCCAATGATGTTCTTGCTGAGTCTTTGGGGTTTTCTGTGTTTAGGATCATACTACCTATACATGGAGTTTACTTCTGCTTTCCCCAGTTAGAAGCCTTTATTTCCCTTTCTTGCATAATAGCTTTGGCCAAGACTTCCAGCACAATCCTGAACAGGAGTGGTGGTAAAGGGCATCTTTTTCTTGTTTCTGCTCACAAGAAGAATGCCGGCAGTGTCTGTAAGTGGAGAGTAGTGTTGACTATTGCTTTGGTGTATATGTCCTCAATTTTGTTGAAGAATTTCCCTTTTACTTCTATTTGTTGAGTGTTTTTACCAGAAATAGATGTTGGATTTTGTCAAGTACCATTCTGTAGTTCTTTTACTTTATTTATGTGGTGGATTATGTATATTATTTTTTAAATATTAAACAATCATTGAATACCTGGTATTAAGCTCATTTAGTCACTGTAGTGATTAGATTTTATGTCACTTTAATGGTACCTGTGTGGAGGTGGGGATGGAATCCAACTTATCAGTCAATCGGGTTACAGTGATTATGCCTTCTTGGGGGTGGCCTTTTTATAAGGATGAAATTGGGAACTTCTCCCTCTGTACCCTTTCACTTTCCTGCTTTCTCGGTCTCTGCCTGTCTCCAGGCTTCAACCCTATCGGGGCTGCCCAACTCTGGGAGTTGTTGATGCTCTTCTATGTTCCCACTGACTTTGGATCCAGGAGAACTTGAACCCACTGGCCTGTGATCTTCCTGCATCCCTCTTTTCCCTTCTGCATCATCGGGCTGAAGCTACGTGCGTCTGGAAAGGGCCCAGCTTGCAACAGATTTATGAACTTGAGCTAGACTGGGCTGAGATGCTTCTTGAGTAAAATTAATTCTTCTTATACACATTGGGTGTCACTGATTTTGTTTCTTTAGACAACCTAGCCTAACATGATTATTTTTTTATGTTCTTGGATTTTACTTGCTAGAATTTTGTTGACAATTTTTGCGTCTGTGTTCGGGAGGAGGAGCCCTGGTGATAGAGGGGTACACAATGGGTTGCTAGCTGCAAGGTCAGCAGTTTGAAGCTATCAGCTGCTCCATCGAGAAAGATGGGGTTTTCTACTCGTTAAGACTTACAATAGATAAACCCACAGGAGCAGTTCTATCCTGCCCTGCAGGGTTTCTCTGAGGTGGCATCACTCGATGGCAGTGATTGTGAGTGGATGTTCATGAGGAATATTCTTTTTTTTTTTTTAAGCAAATCTCTGCTTAGTTTTGGTATCAGAGCTATGCCTGCTTCATACAATGAGTTTGGGAGGATTCCATCCATTCCTATTATTGGAACAGTTTGAGTACAATTGGTGTCAGTTTTTTAGTAGCATGCACTCATGAAGCCACCTGTTCCCAGTCCATTTTTTTGGTGGGAGTTTTTTAATCACCTCATCAATTTCTCTTGCTCAAATTTTATACCTCAGTCAGTATTGGAGTGGGTAGATAGTGTGTTTCTAGAAATTTGTCCATTTTCTGTAGGTTTTCATACTTTTTATACTCCAGTTCTTCATTGTATCCTACTATTGTTTTCTTTATTTGAGTTGGCTCTGTTGTGATAGCACCCATTTCTTTTTTATGTTATTTGTATCTTCTTGTTAGATTTGTTATTGATTTGTAGATTTTATGAATCATTTCAAAGAACCGATTTCTAGTCTTGTTGATTCTTTCTATTGTTTCATATGTTGTCTGTTTCATTTATTTCTGCTTTTATTTTTATGTTTCCTTTCCCTCTGGTTAAATATTCCCCCTCTTGTTTTTTAACTGTTGGAGATATTAGATTGAGGTGTTGATGTTGGTTCTCTTTTTTGATGTGTGCATTTGATGTGTACATGTAATATGTACATGTGATGTGTGCATGCGATGTGTGCATGTGAGGTGTGCATGCGATGTGTGCATGCGATGTGTGCTTGTGATGTGTGCATTTGATGTGTACATTTATTGCCCTCTGAGCACGGCTTTTGTATAACCAAAAGTTTTTGGTATACTATCTTTTCATTCTTTTTTGATTGAAGAATTATTTTATTTTTTTAAATGTCTTCTATTATCCAGTTGTTTTTAAAGAATGATTATAGTCAATGTTCATGTATTTGATTTTTTCCTCTTCTTTTTCCTAGAATTGATTTCTAATTTTATACTGCTGTGATCTGAGAAGGTGGTTTGTAATCCATGGCTTGCTTTGTGTCCTACCATATGGTCTGTTCTGTAGAATGTCCCGTGTGCTTGGGGAAAGAATACTTGTCCTGCAGCCTCTAGTCCCTTGATTGATGCTGCCCCTTCTTCATGCAGGCATGCTGGATGCCCTTTACTCTCGGCTCTTCTTTATGCTGGTCATTGATTCTGTACTCCTATTTTTGTGATGGCTCACTTTACACTCAGTGGACTGGCAAAACTTATCCGTCCCTTCTTTCAAGACCCATTCACCATATTGTCATATATAGCTATAAAAGCAATACTGGTGATTCAGGAGGGGCAGCAAAAAAGAAGATTCCTAACATGAGGGATTGACCCGGTGGCTGCATCAAGGGACTCAGGCATAGGAACAATTGTGAGTATGGCATAGGACCGTGCAGGGTTTTGTTCTGTGGTGTCTAGGGTCACTATGGGTTGGCGCCAATTTGATGGCACTTAACAAAAACAACAGTGATTCGATTATGTCTCAGTGTCTTTCAGGTTATGTTGTTTGGTAGTGTCGTTTAGTTCTTTTGTGTCTTTGTTGAATTTCTTTCTAACTTTTCTGTCCTTCATTGAAAACTCTGCATTAAAGTTTATTATTCTTGTAGAATTGTCTTTTTCTTGCATCGAGTCTGTTAGAGTTTGGTGTATGTATTTTGAGGCCTTGTCGTTGGGTGCATAGCTATTTATTGTTCAATTGACCTTTTAATCATTATTTAATGTCCTTTTCATCTCTGATGATATTTTTGCCTTGAAGTCTCTTTTATCAGAAATTAATAATTTCTGCATTTAGTTAGAATCAACTAGATGGCAGTGGAGTTTACTCTGTCTCTTGACTGTAATACATGTAATACACATAATCCCTTTACAGTTAGTGTAATTATCAATTAGTATGAATTGGTTACTATCACTTTTCTGTGTGTTTTCTGGTACCGTTAGTTGCTACATAATTTTCTCAACTTATGTCATGAATATTCTTGCCATTTTCTACATTGCTGCTGTTTTGTGTTTACTAAGTTTTTGTGACTTTCCTCTACTTACTTTTGATAAGGTTTATGCATCTTCTTTAATGTTACTTTGTAATTTATTAATTTCTACCAATGTTTAAAATATTCTGCTCTATACTGAAATTTGGAAATTCTGTAAGTATACCGTTCCTCTTTTCATTTGTAATTGCTCTTGGTTATAGATTGATAGCGCTGGTTCTCTGTCTTCGGTCTTGTGGGTTTTTCACTTTCGGTACTTCACTGTCTGCATTCACTGCTGGGTGTTGGTGTCATGGTGGGGTTTTTCACTTCCGGTACTTCACTGTCTGCGTTCACTGCTGGGTGTTGGTGTCATGGTGGGGCTTTCACTTCCGGTACTTCACTGTCTGCGTTCACTGCTGGGTGTTGGTGTCATGGTGGGGTTTTCACTTCCGGTACTTCACTGTCTGCGTTCACTGCTGGGTGTTGATGTCATGGTGGGGTTTTTCACTTCCGGTACTTCACTGTCTGCGTTCACTGCTGGGTGTTGGTGTCATGCATGCTCATCTCAGCGTTTTCTC